TTCAGGGTGGTATGGCCGTAAGCGAAAGCTGAGGAGAAAAACGGGCTTTTTATAGGCCACCTTTCATTGTGTTCTCACCAGTGGGAGTACAATCTTAGTTCGATAAAAGATACACTCGAGTTCATTGTTTTCAAAACTGCCATTCAAGTAGAGATTTAGTATCCCTGTACGGATTGTGAAGTGAGGACTCCTGCTGCTCCGGCTGCTGTTGGGTGACGTCACGCCCCGTGGTTCCTGTCAGTGAATGAATTGAGGTGAACGTTTTAACTGGGAACTTGTTCTGAAAACGATTTCAATGTAAAGGAGTAGAGCATTACAAACAAGAGAAGTGGAAGAAGAAGAAAAACTCCAGTAGAGTGAGAACATGTTTGTTCATTTGTTTCCAGTGGCATGACAGATAGTTTGATGAACGTGTAGAGAGTTGGAATAAAAGGGAAACGTGGAGACCGTAGCTCCAATGAGATGAAAGAAAAACAGACACCCCTATTCTATTTATTTCTTTTAAATTATTATTGAATTTATTTTAATGCCTTCCGTCATCTGTTGGCGCTCATATCACTACGCTGCTGTGACATGCTACGCCACTAGATGGCGGATCGCATTTGTGGTATAATGGGAGTCACGCGAACACAGGGAGAATAAATCCTGCTGTCATGATGGTAACACCAGCAAAACGTGTATCTCCTTTATTCTTACCACGGGTCAGTGAATATATACACCCAATCCGGTGTGCATACGATATGCTATGAGTTGAATATGTGACTAAGTAATTAGCTGTGTACATACGAGTGAAAGTAACCGGTTGTTGAGAGAAAGTTGATGTGAAGTGAGTGTGAAGTGTATGCTAAGTGGCCAATGCTAAGCGGACTTGTTTCGTGGTGAGTGAAGAAAATCGATGCTGATGTTTATTTTGGAACGTGTTTTGTGCCATCTGTAACTTGTGTTTCTTTTATAAGTTTTATTTGCACACAAATTGATCTTTTTGTTCATTGTTGCCAGAACCAGGAAAACGCTGTTCAGATGTCACAGAGCGGTAGAATTGAGTGACTGTAGGAAGAATGTAGTTACTGTAGTTCAAATGTGCGGCAAGATATTCCATTACGTTAAAGTAATCACTAGTTAAAAGTTGGTTCAGTTAAAACAAAGTCATTTATTGTTTCACGAATATAATAGAATGTTGTATCCTTGTTATTTAAATCGTGTTTATTTTTTTATAAATCCATGCTGTGAAATGTATTAGATTACATGAAAGTTGTGACAAAAACCAAGGCCATTAGGTTAATAACAACATTTTGGCTATTGAAATATTGTACATGAGACAGAGAATAAATCCTGCTGTCATGATGATAACACCAGCAAAACGTGTGTCACCTTTATTCTTACCACAGACAGGAAAATAATGCAAACTGCATGTCGTTGCTCTGTACTTGTGACATGTGCAATGACAATAAAGTTGAATTCTGTTCTATTCTAATTGGCAGCATCCCAGCTATCGAGCTAGGGAGGCAACAAACGCTTCAAGCGAACGCCTTGATATGAAAAAGAAAAAGAAAATAATGAAAAAGAAAATTTCAGGAGCGGACCCTGCTGTATTCCTCATGAACTGCAATTGTTTCAACTTCAAGGTTCAGTCTTTGCCCAAGAAAAGCAAGACGTTGAAAAGGCTGCAGTATGAAAAAGAAAGAGCACCTCCGTCTGGTCAAAAAAGCTTACAGCACCTGGTATTCCCAGGCGGTCTCCCATCCAAGTACTAACCAGGCCCGACCCTGCTTAGCTTCCGAGATCAGACGAGATCGGGCGTGTTCAGGGTGGTATGGCCGTAAGCGAAAGCTGAGGAGAAAAACGGGCTTTTTATAGGCCACCTTTCATTGTGTTCTCACCAGTGGGAGTACAATCTTAGTTCGATAAAAGATACACTCGAGTTCATTGTTTTCAAAACTGCCATTCAAGTAGAGATTTAGTATCCCTGTACGGATTGTGAAGTGAGGACTCCTGCTGCTCCGGCTGCTGTTGGGTGACGTCACGCCCCGTGGTTCCTGTCAGTGAATGAATTGAGGTGAACGTTTTAACTGGGAACTTGTTCTGAAAACGATTTCAATGTAAAGGAGTAGAGCATTACAAACAAGAGAAGTGGAAGAAGAAGAAAAACTCCAGTAGAGTGAGAACATGTTTGTTCATTTGTTTCCAGTGGCATGACAGATAGTTTGATGAACGTGTAGAGAGTTGGAATAAAAGGGAAACGTGGAGACCGTAGCTCCAATGAGATGAAAGAAAAACAGACACCCCTATTCTATTTATTTCTTTTAAATTATTATTGAATTTATTTGAATGCCTTCCGTCATCTGTTGGCGCTCATATCACTACACTGCTGTGACATGCTACGTCACTAGATGGCGCAAAAAGATTTTTTCAGGAGCGGCCCCTGCTGTATTCCTCATGAACTGCAAGTGTTTCAACTTCAAGGTTCAGTCTTTGCCCTAGAAAAGCAAGACGTTGAAAAGGCTGCAGTATGAAAAAGAAAGAGCACCTCCGTCTGGTCAAAAAAGCTTACAGCACCTGGTATTCCCAGGCGGTCTCCCATCCAAGTACTAACCAGGCCCGACCCTGCTTAGCTTCCGAGATCAGACGAGATCGGGCGTGTTCAGGGTGGTATGGCCGTAAGCGAAAGCTGAGGAGAAAAACGGGCTTTTTATAGGCCACCTTTCATTGTGTTCTCACCAGTGGAAGTACAATCTTAGTTCGATAAAAGATACACTCGAGTTCATTGTTTTCAAAACTGCCATTCAAGTAGAAATTTAGTAGCCCTTTACGGATGGTGAAGTGAGGACTCCTGCTGCTCCGGCTGCTGTCGGGTGACGTCACGCCCCGTGGTTCCTGTCAGTGAATGAATTGAGGTAAACGTTTTAACTGCGACCTTCCAGTGGACTCACCACCTGCAGGAAGGTTTAGGGGTGTTGGTACGGTGCAGTGTGATTTGGGTGGAGACTGCTGCCCCCGCGACCCGGTAACGGATAAGCGGCTGAAAATGGATGGATGGATGGGGTTTTAACTGCGCACTTGTTCTGAAAACGATTTCAATGTAAAGGAGTAGAGCATTACAAACAAGAGAAGTGGAAGAAGAAGAAACACTCCAGTAGAGTGAGAACATTTTGTTAATTTGTATCCAGTGGCATGACAGATAGTTTGATGCACGTGGAGAGAGTTGGAATAAAAGGGAAATGTAGAGACCGTAGCTCCAATGAGATGAAAGAAAAACAGACACCCCTATTTTATTTTTTTTAATTATTACTGAATTTATTTTAATGCCTTCAGTCATCTGTTGGCGCTCATATCACTACACTGCTGTGACATGCTACGCCACTAGATGGCGTATCGCATTTGTGGTATAATGGGAGTCACGCGAACACAGGGAGAATAAATCCTGCTGTCATGATGGTAACACCAGCAAAACGTGTTGTTAAGATATTGTAAATACATTTATTCAAATATTAACGATATATTCATTATATTAAATTTCCATATCAATTTATAGTGTTTGTTTTTGAATGCAATACTAAAAGGAGAGAAACTGAAGAAAGGTGTGCATGCTGATGGTTTACATAACAGGATGGTGTATGGTACTGATGGCACTGACTGTTACGCTTGGAGATAGAGACAGGTCACAGAACCGGCCTGAACCAGTTCCTCTGCCCAAATAATGAGGAAAACAGAACATCAAAAAGGAAAAGAATCCAAGGTGTATTTCTTTGATCTAACCTGAGTTACTGAGCAGAATAGCTCAGCATATGTATACGTTTTCTATTGGTGGAGAATCTTTGTTTGAAGCAGCGTTTGCCAATCAGCACTCAGAAGTTGAGCGTGAACACCACATGGCTGTAAAGGGTTAAGGTGCTGACCAGTGATGTGTATGTAGAAAAAACTGTATTTAAGCTTTGAGCACTGAGGAGTTCCTCAGTGCAGTTCTGAATGTAACCATTGTTCTGCACTCCTTGCTTGCAAGTAAAACTTTTAAAACTTGAGATTTCGAATCAATCTCTTATTTGATTCTTTATTTGATCAGACCTTTATTTGATCTTTATTTGAATTTTTTGTGTGTTAGGAAACTGGGGTATAAACTAACAGCAATTTTTACAGTCCTATCTAACAGAGAACGTTTCCTGACACAAAACAAACAAAACAAAAAAAACAAAAAAAAAAAACAAGGAGCCGCTAAGTTGGTGATGCTCTGGACCATTCTCTTTTAAGGGGAAAGAAAAAGTATTTTAGTGTTTTTTGCTGACCAACTTAATCCTATTTGTGTAGCATAAATGAATTCTGATATCAATACATTGAATACACTTTAAGAAATTACTGAATGCTATAGTTTTGCAAGTATTTCTTTTTTTGCCTATTCTTGCAGTATGGATGACATTAGCAGCTCAACAGTCCGTTGTTGCCCTTGTTTGACTGTCCCTTCAGGGTGCACCACATATCTTCAGTTTAAGATAAATATAGACTGCAGCAGTTCAGACAGTCAAACATGCATCCAGGTGCCATCACAGATATTAGCACTCCCACAGAAGAATCGGCTTTTACCCGTAGAAACATTGTTATTAAAAAATCAGAGAACACACTCAAATTTTGACAACCGATTCCTAATTCCTAATTAATTTTGTTAAGTCTTCATCTTTGAAAAGACAGTTGAAGACAAATTCTTTCACAAAAATGATGAGCAGTTGGAATGTTGACCGGTGACTGTGCCCTTGAGTGGGTACACCTTTTAAAGCCAAGTTCAGCTGCTTAAGGAGGAACCCTACAGAATTTTACTTTTTCAACTTTTACCATTTTACCTGTCACATAGATTTTGAAACACGACATCATTTTTAAGTCTTTGATTATCAAACATAATAAAGTTTGTCTTTAGTAATCTTAATTATAAGGAATGTATCTAAGTTGAAAACCAACCCCAGACATGATGTTGCATGGAAGAAAGTAGGACTTGAGTGTATTTTAACACATACCTCATCTAGTCTCTCCTCACTGGCATCTCTGTCATAATCTACAGCCATCTCTTTATACAGATCACCTGAAATGACACACCATATTAGGTAAGGCAGTCGTGCACCTGTCTTAGTTGTGTCTGATTAGTTTTTGCTCATGTTTTAAAACCATACCGGGAGTTTCCTCTGTGTCCACACTGTCAATCTTGTCCATGAAGTCATTGGAATTCCACTTGATGATTTCCTTTGGAAAGACCTCTTCGCCGTCTGACAGATCCTCTGCAGAGGAAACCAAACGTGAATCATCATCATCATCAGAAGTGCAGTTGCCATTCTAGGCTTAATGCAGTGTTATATTACAGTAACTGAGAGCTGTCCTGTGAGTTACATTTAATTAATCAAAATGTAAAGAGTGGAGCGGGCTTTGTTATCTTAGGAATCTCCTACAGATGATGTTATTATGCCATAATATACTTGGTTTATGTGTGCGGGGGTGGAGGACAGGAAGTGTCCATTGCTCAACTTTCTTTTTTTTTTCCAAAGGCTGAATGAAGACAGGTGTCTATTTATTAGACCACAGAATTGTCTATTTTTTATTGGATATAGAATTCAAAATATATGTATTTTATTTTTTTCATGTTTTTTATGTGCTAATTTATATCAAATATCAAACATGTTTATAACAGGTTTTATAAGAAAGTCCATTGTTTTCCATTTGTTTAAAAATGAAATGTTGGAATGACTCATAAACTACTACCTTAATAATGTTAATTGGGCCATAATTATCAGGCTATAAAGAGGTCAGAATTTTTTTTTACAGGTGGAGGAGGTTAAGGATCAGCTCACAGGAATTACTGTGGGATGTTATTTATCTTTATCTCTTTCTTGCTTTTAATTATTATTAAAATAAAAATAAGAATTTTCCTAGATGTTTTTTTTTAGTTTATTAACCATTAATTATACATTTTGATGAATGACAATAACAAAGTGGCAACAGCCTTGAGCAGCATGGCCTTAGCTTGTCCTGTTGCGTATATAATCTGGCGCAAAAGTCTAATACAAGGTGCATTTCTTGTTTTCTTGTATGTAGTACTTTAACGCTCAAGACAAATGTTCTAATTAGAGCCGTGTGTTCTGAATGATCTCAATTTTATGATATACGTGTATTTTTACTTTATTATTATCTAGGTTTAAGTAAGTGGCGCTTTGGCCCAGAGGCAATGTCTCTGTCATTGGTGTGGAACCCCACGGTTCACCTCCTGGACAAGTTCGAATCCCGGTCAGGGCGGTTAATACGTTCCAGTGGACTCACCACCCGCAGGAAGGTTTAGGTACGGTGCAATGTGATTTGGGTGGCGACTGCTGCCCCCGCAACCCGGTAACGGATAAGCGGATGAAAATGGATGGATGGATGGATAGGTTTAAGTACTTATTTTAGTACTCAAACCTAGTTATTTTATTCCATTTTCATTTCGACTCGGGTTAAGAGTAGGGCTGGGCTAGTTAACGCGTCATTTTCGCATTTCGCACAACTGAATAGCCTATTAACGCCGTTATTTTATCGCGCATTAAGGAAGGTTTATCACATGCTTTTATTTTGTAAAACTCTGTTGCTTGCTGCTGCGGAATCGGAAATGAAAATAATTGGCGGAAAAACATGCGGAAAAGCCAGAACAGACATGGAGAGGGGTAAAGTTGCAGAACTTTTACATGGCCATTTTCATTTTAAAGTTCATCCAGGCGGCGGATTTGACAGAAACAAGGTTATTTGTAACCACTGCCAAGTTGAACTTTCTTATCACCGGAGTACTAGTCCAGTCTTAAATATCACATAAATGCAAACACACTGTTGATATCAGCAAACCATTCAACGCATCAGACAGTGGAGCGAGGCTTCAGCAGACTACGTTAAATGCAGCGTGTGGGAGAAGTACAGACAAACAAAAGCAAGAGAAACTAATAAATGCCGTGGCGAAGTGGACAGCTACAGACTGTAGGCCGGTTAGTGTTGTGGAAGTCTAAGTAACATTGTGAGAGTCGCAACAAATGACTGCAGTAGTGATGGGAAGACGGACTCTTTTTACTGATTCGGATCTTTGACTCTCGAACAGTACAATGTATGAGTCGTGAACGAATCATTTCATTCATTTTACAGCAGGTGGCGCTTAACCCCTATTGTGGGCGTTGTAAAGAAGGCTGCGGTTCTCTGACACTAAATACTGAAGGCAACATGGTTTGCTTCCACTGATAAAGTCTACAAAGTACACGAAATGCCATATGCAATTAAAACCATGTGAAAACCTAAGAAAGAAAAACACACCACAATGTGAAGATGAATGAGAGCAAAAGAGACCCGAGCTCTCTGTCACGTGACAAATGAAACGAATCTGTGAGAACAAATCTGTGACAACAAATTTTTGAACGACTCTGTGAGAACGAATTTGGAATTAGTTCACATAGGCCGTAAAGTGAACCACGAAAAGTCCTTTAGAAATTGAATTCCGCTCCGACGTCTGGGAACTACACTTCCGGCAACACGGCTTCCTCCGTGGTTCTACTTAACGTTGCCGATACAGAGGAATTCTCCCAAAAGCCTTCTAAAGTAGGCCAAATGGATTCTAAACAGTGCTTTATACATAGCTGCCTGCACGCAGAACAATGAGGAAAATAGACGATAAGGTGAACTTTGTATGTTAAGTCATTTTGATAAATAAAAGGAAGTAATCAATGACAAGAAACATTTGTTTATTCATTCGCTCATTGATTGATATGTTGACATCAATCAACTACTCGATTAGTGTAGCACGATCACGTGTCGAACCGTGCCACCGCTCACGCACCAAAATCTTATTGTGCCCCAAAGATGCTAGTTCATTATAAAATGCATCGATAAAAAAAAACAGGCAGGATATTTTTGCTGTAAGTTTAACGTAACTCATTCTTATTTATGAAGTTGAGATCGTGTAATTCCCAGACGTCGGAGCGAGATGAAACAATAATCGGGTTCACCTCGTTCGCAGAGAGTGATTCGTTCGTAGTGAAAGATTAGTTCACAGCGAAAGATTAGTTCACAGCTAAAGATTAGTTCACAGTGAAAAATTAGTTCACAGAGAGTGATTCGTTCACAGCGAAAGATCAGTTCACAGTGGAAAGATTAGTTCGCAGAGAGTGATTCGTTCGTAGTGAAAGATTAGTATACAGTGAAAGATTAATTCACAGTGAAAGATTACTTCGCAGAGAGTGATTTGTTCATAGTGAAAGATTAGTTCACAGTGAAAGATTCGTTCGCAGAGAGTGATTCGTGAGTTCAATATGAACAAATCTTTCATATGACTCGGGAGTCACAAGTCACGAATCTTCCATATGAGTCACGAGTCATATGAAAGATTCGTTCATATTGAACAAATCACTCGCGAACGACACATCACTAGACAGCAGATATGAGATGCCATCAAGACGCACAATCACACGAAGAATACACGAGTTGTATGAAAAGGATATGACTGAGAAAGCAACACATTTACAACATGCATCAACTGTTGCTCTCACTGGGGACTACTGGACATCACTCAGTAACCATAATTACCTCAGAGTTACAGCACATTATATTGATGAGAAGTGGGCGCTGCATTCACATGCTTTGTCTGTAGTGAAAACAGACAAGAGACATTTTGCCGAAACATGCGCGGGACACTTCACTGAAGTTGTGCAGCAGTGGAATTTGTCAGATAAAGCCACCACACGCACATATGGTGCACGAAATACACTATATTACCAAAAGTATTCGCTCACCTGCCTTGACTCATACTATGAACTGAAGTGCCATCCCATTCCTAACCCAGAGTTCAATATGATGTCGGTCCACCTTTTGCAGCTATTACAGCTTCAACTCTTCTGGGAAGACTGTCCACAAGGTTGAGGAGAGTGTTTATAGGAATTTTTGACCATTCTTCCAAAAGCGCATTGGTGAGGTCACACACTGATGTTGGCGGAGAAGGCCTGGCTCTCAGTCTCCAGTCTAATTCATCCCAAAGGTGTTCTATCGGGTTCAGGTCAGGACTCTGTGCAGGCCAGTCAAGTTCATCCACACCAGACTCTGTCATCCATGTCTTTATGGACCTTGCTTTGTGCACTGGTGCAAAGTCATGTTGGAAGAGGAAGGGGCCCGCTCCAAACTGTTCCCACAAGGTTGGGAGCATGGAATTGTCCAAAATGTTTTGGTATCCTGAAGCATTCAAAGTTCCTTTCACTGGAACTAAGGGGCCAAGCCCAGCTCCTGAAAAACAACCCCACACCATAATTCCTCCTCCACCAAATTTCACAGTCGGCACAATGCAGTCTGAAATGTACCGTTCTCCTGGCAACCTCCAAACCCAGACTCGTCCATCAGATTGCCAGATGGAAAAGCGTGATTCATCACTCCAGAGAACGCGTCTCCACTGCTCTAGAGGCCAGTGGCGGCGTGCTTTACACCATTGCATCCGACGCTTTGCATTGCACTTGGTGATGTGTGGCTTGGCTGCAGCTGCTCGGCCATGGAAACCCATTCCATGAAGCTCTCTGCGTACTGTACTTGGGCTAATCTGAAGGTCACATGAAGTTTGTAGCTCTGTAGCAATTGACTGTGCAGAAAGTCGGCGACTTGCTTGATTTTATACACCTGTGGCCAGGCCAAGGGATTAGGACACCTGATTCTGATCATTTGAATAGGTGAGCGAATACTTTTGGTAATATAGTGTAATATCCTGCATGTGTTGTTTTCATCACATACAATTCTTATGACTATAGGACTACAAGCCAGACGCAGATCCAGCCAAGTTCAAGTCTGTTAAGACAGGCAGAGGACCTCTGGGGCCCACCTGGAAGGTAATGGCTTTAATTTTAGTCCATTTGAACAGATGTTGCTTGACATCTTCTGTAGTGGCCTTGACTTTCCCCTAGTTGTTTCATTTTTGTTATCAGTACAATAACCTGATATACAGCAGCTCAACTAACAGCCACTGAGAGACGTCCTTACCCCAAGCACAATGATTGACATGCCAACTACAGCTGAAATGGACAAGCTGCAGAGGTTGGAAACGCTATTGGAACCGTGCAGGTATGTTTTACATCATATTCCTCACCATCCTGCCTGAGTTCATGTAAAAGGGGAATAGTGTATGTGTAAATGCAGCATGAATATGTAGAGGATATTTTTTGTGTATAAGTGAATGCCATTTATTTTTGAAGTGGTGTTGATTTTCTTTTGCAGGTATTTGACTGAACTTTTGGGAGGAGAAAGGTATGTCTCATGCTCTGTGGCTCTCCCTGCTTTTTGCCATCTCTCTCGGGTGATGGAGAGCTCAGATAATGACCCCGCCTACGTCACCAAGTTCAAATCTCAAATCTACATTCAGAGAAGGCCTGGAGACACGTAAGGGAAATGCCAATATTGCATATCTGAAGATTGCTACTGCATTGGACCCTAGGTTCAAGGACCTTAAGTGTATCCCCAGAGCTGAGAGGAGTGAGGTGTGGGCCTCAATCACCAATTTAATTAAGGAAGAGAGGGTTTCTGTAAAGAAACCTGTGGAAGAAAAAACCACAGAGCCACCAAAAAAAAAGTTAGTTGGCTGCTTCATCTGAGTCTGATTCTGAACAGGAAGAAGACTCAATTGAGAACAGTGTGCATCGATACAGAGCAGAGCCCGCCATAGGTTCAGATTCCTGTCCATTAGAGTGGTGGTCCAAACATGCAGGCTCACACAGCAGGCTGGCCCCATATGCACAGAAGTACTTGGCCACACCTGCAACCTCCGTCCAATGTGAAAGGTTGTTTTCTCTTGCTGGTCATCTTGTGCAGAAGAAGAGAGCTTCTTTATCTTCTGAAAATGTAAATAATCTTGTGTGCCTTAGTAACTGGCTTAGTGCAGAGGAGTAAAAAGGACAGAACTCCAGTATAAACATGCAACTAACATTGTTGGTAGATTTTTTTTTTTTCATAAAGAACAGGATAACATTAATGCCCTGGTAGTGGCAATACGTTTTATTAATTTATGTATTTTTTTATTTTTTAAGTTTAGATTTACACTATATGTGTTACTGACAATTGCTGATGTTAAAAGTGTTTGCACAACAAATCTTACTGCACTTTCAATCATATGGCAGAAGAATATTTAAATAAAAGTGCACTTTATACTACTTTTGAATTCATTGTTGGATTTTGTGTATACAATGCGATTAATTGTGATTAATCAGGGAAATCGTGCAATTAAAAATTTTAATCGTTGCCCAAGAGTTCTATTTATTAAATGTTACAGCAAAGATCTCAACATAAATAAATCCTAATGAGCAGGATTCTGCCTAAAAGCTTTCTTTTTTATTCTTAGAAAATAAACAAACCAATAAATTACCCTGCCACACAGAAGAGGAGTGTGACAGTTAAAAATAAACCTGCAGATGATTACAATAGATGTTTACTGCACCACAACCATAACCAGAAACTCACTTTTAAAAGAAAGAAATCTAATATCAAGGGCAATCTGAGCCAAGTCAGCCTGTTTCCATATTTAGGTTTCCTTCCTTTATCATGTGATTCAAGATGATGATACCGAAACACACACACTTATGTCCATGCAACCTGTCTCCTGAGCTCATAAAGTTACACCTACCTCATTAATTTCTTGGAATCTGTGTTGTCACCTTTATAGTGTAATACTATCTGTAAATGACTGATGTGGGAGCAGGAGCAGTTCAACAGAGATGACTGTACTGACCACTAGGTGGACATGATGACTTATTATGAACAGTGCAATAAGAACTTTAATCATATTAGATACAGTGCGATGTGCTTGGACTTCAGACAGCTTTGTAACTGATTCATACAAGTCTGATCAGCATGATACACACTAAATTGTCAAACCCTGAACATAGCATGGAGCCTAATGATTTCATTCCAGAAATAAAATATAACAGCGACATGCACAACTTTATTCCTGATTCATCCTCATGAGTTCATGTTATGAAAAAACAACCATTTGTTTGAGGAGAAACAGAGGAGGATGTGAGTCGGTTATTCATTTTCCATTGTGTGTGACAGTGTAATAGATTGTGACTTGTCATCATGATGAGACACATGACGGTGTCCGGGGTCAAACATGTCCTGCAGACAGCCTGGGAATTTTTTTTTTTTTGCACCACACCCTTAAGCATAATGGGTATCTGGGAAGTTTAAGAACAAATCAGCAGTTAAAGAGATGGGGAAAGGGATGGAAACAAGATTCTCAGAAGCTTTTCATCTAAGCACTACCTTTAAACTTGTGTTTTACCATGAGCGTCAAAGAACTCCTCGTCTGAGCTGTCCTCAGAGTCTCGTGCGATGCTCTCCATCCTCCATTCTGAGATGCTATGCCGTGATGGGCTCACTAAATCAATTTTCATGAAAAAAAAAAAGAAAAAAAATAGAGTTACCGTTGGCCTCTAAAAACACACACAAGCGTATGAAAATGCCAATTCTGGAAAAAAATGTAGATTTTTGAGTAAGTTGTGTTTATGTTAAACAAATATGTTAACATTTAAGAAACTCAGTGGTGCATTATTTAATCATAGATAGACAGCTTGGTGTTCAGTGTGTGCAAATATAACAGAAATAAGAAGCAGACAAAAATAGAAAATTCCACGTTTGATCTCTGTCTTGTCTGTCACACAGTCTGTGCTTCATAGATAAATTAGTCTGGAGGAGAAGAGGGGGGCGTAGCTCATAAGTGAAAGCTGGAGATGTTGGAGGGAAGGGGGGGCACAGATGTAGCTGTCAGCACACTGAAGAAAACAGCAGTAGTGCTGTTGGTGGTGGACGGGAGTGTCACTGCAAACAGCGTCAGTCTCCTCTGGGCTGTGACACAGCAGAAAACCACAGGGGGAAGTATCAGGGGGTGAGATGAGGCATTTCTGATGAGAGTTAGGGTCCAGGTGGCAGCTACAGTGAGCCCTGCCTTGAGGTAGTGGGTGTCACTGGAGATCAGCATGCATTTAAATGTAGTTGGTGATGTGAAATCTGCTGTTTTAAATACCTAAGGCTGAATCGGCTAACATTAAATATGAAAGAAAAAAAAAGATAGGTGCAGAACTTAAATATTATTAGCCATGAATCTATATTTTGTGAAAATTATTTTGGCCAATATTTGGTTTTCTGGTTATTACAAATGAACGACTAATTTATAAAACAGTATTGGCAGATGTGTTGTGATCACTCCACTAGACATGGACATTAGCAGCATGAACAGACCGTGTGCAACCATATTATAGGTAAACAAGGCAAAAAAGATGCATATTAATGACAAATGAATAGAAAAATGCAACTGCAATGAGGTATTCTCCAGGGAAAAGACATTAAAAGAAACAAAAACTGCTCCAATAACAGGACACAGTTTCAGAAGTAAGGGCAGATGAGTGGTTGGATGGATATGGAGAACTTCTCAGTAGAGTCCTTAGCAAATGTCAGTCCTTATGACTAGGGTATCAGCTGGCTAGACCTGAATGTCTTTGCTTTTCTTTTCCTTTTTATGGTGCTTTAGGAGGAAAGGAGAAACATAGATTAATTACAAAAAGAATCTCAGAAAATAGCTCCATTAGCCATGGAAATATGAGAGGGGATTTAAGCTATGTTTGCTACCATGCTACTTTTAAATGGGGTGAAATACACTGCCTGGCCAAAAAAAAAGTCGCCACCTGGATTTAACGAAGCAAATAGGTAGGGGCCTCCTATTGGATAATTACTGCATGGGCGATTATCTTTCAGCTAGCAACAAGTTATTTAACCCCAACTGGTGCAATGAGTTGCTTCTCATTTCCTAAACAACCATGTCAAAAGACACATCCCATGGTCGTGGAAAAGATGTTAGTCTGTCTGAGAAGGGTCAAATCATTGGCATGCATCAAGCAGAGAAAACATCAAAGGAGATTGCAGAAACTACTAAAATTGGGTTAAGAACTGTCCAACGCATTATTAAAAACTGGAAGGATAGTGGGGACCCATCGTGATGGGCGCATCAGGGTAAGAAGAGAGGCAGGTGAAGTGATGCACCCATCATGCCTAGTGCCTACTGTACAAGCCTGTGGGGGCAGTGCTATGATCTGGGGTTGCTGCAGTTGGTCAGGTCTAGGTTCAGCAACAGTATGTGCTCAAAGAATGAGGTCAGCTGACTACCTGAATATACTGAATGACCAGGTTATTCCATCAATGGATTTTTTCTTCCCTGATGGCACGGGCATATTCCAAGATGACAATGCCAGGATTCATCGGGCTCAAATTGTGAAACACTGGTTCAGGGAGTATGAGACAGCATTTTCACACATGGACTGGCCACCACAGAGTCCAGACCTTAACCCCATTGAGAATCTTTGGGATGTGCTGGAGAAGGCTTTGAGCAGCGGTCAGACTCTACCATCATCAATGCAAGATCTTGGTGAAAAATTAATGCAACACTGGATGGAAATAAATCTTGTGACATTGCAGAAGCTTATCGAAATAATGCCACAGCGAATGCGTGCTGTAATCAAAGCTAAAGGTGGTCCAACGAAATATTAGAGTGAATGACCCTTTTTTTTGGTGGCGACTTTTTTTTTGGCCAGGCAGTGTATATCTACATCTATCTACAGTACCTATCATCATGATCTCAGTCTCTGAAGACTTTGCTTTGTCATTTATTTGTGATCAGGACTCTGCTCCATGTGTACTGCAGTTACAGTACATACTCTTAGTAAATATCGTGCAGCCCTACTTGTTACCTCCTCTCTTAGATGAGCGGGATGAGCGGGATGAGGCAGACCATTGCTTTGTGAGCACACCTCTAGGCTGGAGAGTCTCTCTCCCAGTGTTGACGACCACCTCCTCTGCCTCGATGAAGCTAATGGCCTCTTTAACTTCCTGGTCTGGAGAGGGACCACCACTCATGGCTTTGGTGGCCTCTTCCGCCTGGCTAAACTGTGCCATCTTCCTGGCCAAGGCCAGCTGAGTTTCCAGCTCCAGCTGCCTGATGTCTTCGATGGTCAGACTGTACCACTCATCCTGCCAGCACCAGGCCTGCCGGTGGGCACGGGCCATCACCTTCCTGAGTCCTTGTAACAGAAGGTGAGAGATGTTTAGATGTACATAAGATAACAATCCAGTCAAGATAAATCACAAGAAAAGGTTAACACTGAAATTTCAATAAACCACAACCTGCAGAAAAAGTGTTATAAATACAATCCCTGAGCCTATGATGGTGCAATTATTTACTTACTTTCTTTTGCAAGAGGTTTGAGTTTTGTGGCAAAATTTTAAGTTTACAATAAACAAATACAGAACAACAGAAGCCATTAAAGGCCAAACATTACATTCATTGTCGTTCTACATTAACACACAGAAATTGTTTCCTCAGTATTTCACCCATCAGTGATTTGCTTAATGAAGCGCCCAGGGAAATTCGTGATTACTCAACACACCACAGCTGGCTAAAGCTAAGCTAAAGGCATTATCTGCTTTTTTCGAAAATCTTGCCTGAATACTGTATTATTAAGAGTTAGTAAGAAAAGGTTACTCACCAACATCATGAATGAAGCGTTCAATCTTTGACTGCATGCCCCAGTAGCGGAATTCCACTTTGCACAGTTTGTAAGCGCACATGATGGGGGTCTTTCCTGGGTTGTTGTTGTACTCCTCTATCCAGTCGTCTTTCAGCGGCCCTCTCTGGGTCTTCACTGACTTGAAGAACCGCAAATCCTCCTCCACCTTGTACTCGTGAGGGGGAATGGGATCTGTCACTATGTCGATTGGGTCTGACCGAGACAAGTCACAGTCAGAAAGCATGTTTTGATATGACAAAGATGATTTTTTTTTCATACTTAGATCATACACTGTATAACCTTTACAGGGCTTGAAATTCTATTTATAGCAGCATCAATGGCTGACACATGTATAAAATCATCAGAGCCAGTACATTCTCTGGAATAATGGAAGCCAAAAACCAATAATTCTATTTTAATGGAATCAGTCTCAGATATAAAAAAATGTAGTAGCACTATTGTGCCACAAGTGGGCTTTAGCTGCTGGTTACAGCTTTAGTTGCATGAAAACCAATCCAAAGCCAAAATGTTAATTACGCTCCAATTTCATTCTCTTTAACGCTCTTTGAAACATTTAGTGCGAACATTTATTTTAGTTTTATATTGAGTGAAATGTTGGTTTTTCACTGGTTTAGGATGAACTCCAAATTGCCTCACCAATTGTTGTTTGCCTTTTCTCTGCTCCTGACATGTTGAAGACATCAGACTGGTTGCCTGTGTCAGACTTGTAGTAAGTTTCAATGTCAATGGAGAACTTTTCCACAAAGGGACAGGTGTATCTGAAATAAAGGAGATTTCAACAGTGAGACACTGAAAAATTGCCCCAGTGAAATTGTGCATTGAGATCCCTATTAATACTCAAGTTAACTTAATTTAAATTGACTTGACAACCTCTTACTGGTGAAACCAAAGAATGTGTGAGAATACAGTATTTATGTGATGAATCTGATGAATGGCATTTGTGCAAAGCTGTTTTCTCTTTAAAACTTGTACGAACAGGTGCTTTTAAACTAACAATACTCTGAGGGTGTATTTGCCAGGAGGCTCCGTACAGACAGACAGAAACAGAAAGATAATGCAAAAACAATGCCATAATCTCTACAATAATTCTGAAATTATTTGAATTCATTTAAAAAGTTTTGATTTTCTTGGTTTGTTAAAATTAATTAAAATGTTTTATGTGAGTTGCGTCATTTTTGTTTTAGTGTGAGGTTTCATATTACCTCTAAATTAGTTTGGGCAGTGATTTTGTAAATATTTATGTTTTGAACTTGGGATGCTCAATAAATTGTTATATAGGTCACCAGAGTCAGAATACCACTAATGATCTTTAACAGGACGAAGCAGTTTTTTGTTAAAAAATAGAGCCTCAGCAGAGTTTGCTGCAAGTAATGTCCCACTCAGAGGAGAGGTGTGTGCGTGTGTGGAGGCGGACCTTCTGCTTGCTCTACATCTCACCTGGTGCGAGTGTAAGGGTAGGCGTTCCAGGACTCCTCTTCAACCCGTAGTGCTGCTTTGGGCAAGATGGAGCGAAACCAGCTCGGGATGTGCTTGCCAATGTGGAAGACCTTGTGGGTGTACTGTCCATTTCCCCCTGGTCCATCTGTGTAGGGTTTGTTCTCCAAGATCTCCACCCCACTACCTTCACCACAGCTCTCTTCTCTGCTCTTTTTCTGAAAGCAAAGAAAAGCAGGGAGTTGTAATTTTGATGTGGTGTAATAATTAAATAGGAGTACAATTTTTCAAATATTCCAAGCCATAACTGAATATGGACAAATTAGTAATGTCGCTTTGTTTATAATTATCTTAAGGGATAACCAGTGCAATTTGACACTACGTCAACAAGGACACCAAAACCTAAAACTGCCTGCAGCTGCCCTCCTTCAACAATAACTTGCAAATAAGTATTGCCAAAAAAAAAAAAAAAAACAGCTCAGGGAACCACACCTTTCCCATATTTACATTGCAGGTGCAGGGAGGGTGGAGCCTGTAAACGAGGCTGACCTTTTAATTCAAAAGCCAAGGCATGTGTGGCATCAAAGTGAGTCAATGATTTGTATTGGTTTAAAATCTTTGAGAAAGGAAACCCGTACTCTAGTCTTGGGCATAGGCCAAGTGACGACAGTAAAAACAGGAGGAAGAGAGCAAAGAGCGAGCACCATAACTGTCAAGAAATGAAAGAAATGAACATCTTCTTGTTTTCCTCTTTTCAGCCTATTACCCTGTCTTTCCCCTTACAGGGAGGGGAGACAGATCTCTCCTGTCCGTTCAGTGGTGAGATGCAGTGCAGGTGTGGCTGCGAATCAGTGGAATAAGGTCCAGCTCTCTGGACCTTATTATCTCTGACAGACCATTCATTAGCCACTGGCTCTGCTCTCAACAGCCCAGACACAGCTCCAAAGACACAGCACAGACACCACAACGTGAAATCGGGCCGAGCATCGCCAGGTCGTGCGTCTCAAAAATCGGGTCAAAAACGGGCTAAAATCGTACAGTGTATGCCCGCCCTTAATCAGCAGGGATGCAAACCCTCCGTCTTCCAGCTACACATATGTATCAATGGAGGAAATAATTTGACTGAAAAGAAGCAAAGCTGCATCTTTTAATGTAAGCTGGAGGAGAGTGGAGAGCTTGGCCTAACCTAGCATCAGAGGAGAATGAATGCTAACTGAATGCTAACTTTAGGTTGTATAAAGATGGATTACATCTTTCTGTGTAATGTGCATTTCCTTCTACTCAGCCAATGATTACTAGCATAGAAATGTTAATGTTTTACCTAGATGAAGAAGTACTTTCATGTAAAACAAAGATGTATTTACTTACTGCTGGGTCAAACCCTGAAGAAAGGAAAAGTGATAAGAGTGATGCAATGATGTTATACCAGTGCACTCAACTCCAGAGAGGAAATAGGAAGCAATACGCTCTCGTACACATGCTTATGTGTTATCATTGGTCAAAACAATTTTTACATCAGCAGCTGCTGGACCCAATTCATCGAGATGTGCAATAGACCTACTGCATCAACTTCTATTCACAACTGCATAAGTGACTTTTCAAAGAGGTCATCAATGTGGATGATCACCAATGTGGCAAGTTCAAATCCTGTCCTCAGACCGCAGTCACATACTGTAGCAGTGACTTTATTTATCTCATTTTTCAACAAATACTAAACACAAATTTAAGGCCCTTCAGGAAAGCCAACCGTCTGTGTTAATAGCCGTCAGTTCCGACAGGACAGGAGTCATATCCTGGGTTTTTCCTCCTGCTATCGAGTCAGTCATACGAGTTTCCTGGTTCAGGTACTGCTTTTCACTACTCTACGGTCATACAGTTGCATGGCCAGAATGCAAGGGATGTGTGCGAGTGAATGAGACACACTCCATCCATCCATCCATCTTCAACCGCTTATCCGGGGCCGGGTCGCGGGGGCAACAGTCTGAGCAGGGACACCCAGACTTCCCTCTCCCTCGATACTTCCTCTAGCTCTTCTGGGGGGACCCCAAGGCGTTCCCAGGCCAGCCGAGCGACGTAGTCGCTCCAGCGTGTCCTAGGTCTTCCCCTAGGTCTCTTCCCAGAGGGACGGCACCCGAGCACCTCCCGAGGGAGGCGTCCGGGGGGCATGCGATGTAAATGCCCAAGCCACCTCAGCTGACTCCTCTCGATGTGGAGGAGCAGCGGCTCTACTTCGAGCTCCTCCCGCGTGACAGAGCTCCTCACCCTATCTCTAAGGGAGCGCTCTGCCACCCTGCGGAGAAAGCTCATTTCAGCCGCTTGAATCCTTGATCTCGTTCTTTCGGTCATGACCCACAACTCATGACCATAGGTGAGGGTAGGAACGTAGATTGACCGGTAAATTGAGAGCTTCGCTTTTCGGCTCAGCTCCTTCTTCACCACAACGGACCGATACAGCGACCGCATTACTGCGGCCGCAGCACCGATCCGCCTGTCAATCTCACGCTCGATTCTACCGTCACTCGTGAACAAGACCCCCAGATATTTGAACTCCTCCACCTGAGGCAGGACTTCATCCCCGACCCGAAGGGTGCATACCACCTTTTTCCGGTCGAGAACCATGGCCTCGGACTTAGAGGTGCTAATTTTCATCCCAGCTGCGTTACACTCTACTGCAAACCGCCCCAGTGCATGCTGCAGGTCCTGGTTCGAAGAAGCCAACAACACCACATCATCTGCAAAAAGCAGAGATGAAATCCGGTGGCTACCGAACTGGACCCCACCCGACACCTGGCTGCGCCTAGAAATTCTGTCCATGAAAATAATGAACAGAACCGGTGACAAAGG